GGAGACAGTCATCATTTTTCGGCCATGTTATGAGAAGAGGGAAAATAGAACATGTTGTGACCACTGGAAAGATATGTGGAAGGAGAGATGGAGGAAGACAACGAGAGAAGATGCTTGATAGTCTTGTTGCATGGCATGGAGGTGTGTCGGCACACGAACTGATACATGCTGCAGGAGATCGCAGATTATGGAGAGGCATGATCGCCCACGCCAGTCGGCAATGCACCTGATGATGATGAAGTCAACCTGTATGACCCGGAAGCAAACCTACGCTCATAAAATGAAAATTTGAAATAGGACCCAGGAAACGGATCTGACCTGATGCAAGTTCAAACACATCCCACGACACGATCCTGCCTGAGTGTAAGCACCTGTCACACGACACGTTTTTATCGCCAGAAATTAATTACGTAGCTTGATAATAATAGGGCACTGTTGGTATAGAAGAACTGTAGTCCTATTATGTTGTCTCCACCGATATTGAAGACAGTATGGCTTGATTTTGCTCTTGTCAGAAACGAACGAAGCTCCGCTTTTACTTTTACTTTCACTGCTGGGTTTTTAAAAAAAAAAAGTGATTATCTATCAGTTTTTTTTTATTTAATTTATGAGTTTAGTTAAGAAGATAACTAAGTGCTTGAAGGAAATGAGCTGATGGCTGCCGAAATAAAATAAAGATATGCCCCAGTAAAATTAGTTCTTCATTTTAGTAAAATTACTGAAATGCTGACGACAATGGTACATTTTAAACATATTTATTTCAAATAATTATAATTATTCAGTGAAAATAACAAGAGAAAATCAGATCATTTTGGGATGGAAATGCGGATATACAGAAGAATTTGACCTGTAAAATGGACTTAATGGAAACAAAAACAGTGGAATGATACATAGAGCCTGAAAAGACTAGGAACAAAGGGAAAGTTGCTGTTGAAAGTCACTTATCAAAACCATACTAGGGAGAAAGCTGCACTGAAGGAAACAGGGATACAAGTGGGAGGATTGGATAACACCAAGATATGGAGTGGACAAATAGGAGTGGGGGAGAGTACATTGTTATTGTGTAGTACATACAGGGTGTATTGATTTATTGCAGCCAACCTTTGTGGAGATGGCACCTGATTAGTTAATTCCTCATCCTCTTTGCATTCACCAGCTTTAAATTGAGAAGGAAAGTTCTGCTTGTTTGTTCACTTCTGGACTGTTGTCTTTTTCCAGAGCCTGAGTGTTGTGTGTACATACACATCTGACTTATTTGTATGCAGATATCTCGGACAGATACTCCAACCTTGAAGAAAGCCCCCAATTAGTCAACTCCTTTGACATGCTTGCTGGGGAGGCAGAGGGTATATTCTTGTTTTCTCCACAATGGGGCCCTGGTACCCACTGATTTGGTCAACAGCTACAGTGCCTTTATTTACCTAAAGCATCAAGGGACACCTAGTCAGTACTTGATATAGCCATACCTTCTGACTACAACCATCAAGGAGGTTGAACAGGGTGTTTGTGATTGTTTCTGGGTGTGTTAACATTCAGCTGAATGTTAGCTTGCAGTTAAAAATGCTGGTCTGTCATTCATGAGACCCAGGTTCACATCCTCGATAAGGTGATGGTATTATTCTGTCAGAGGGGAAAGTAAAATCCTGCCCATGATGACTGCGCTAGCCATGCTGCCCTAAATCTCCTTTCTCAAGACCCCCTTGTCCTGCACTTCCATAAAAAAGGTGGTAAAAGACAGGCAGCTTGAGGAGCAGCTAGGAGAGAATAATGCCATGAGGCCCATGGTAGCTGAAGACTGGCATTGAAGTCTTTTCCTCTTCTTCACATTCACTGGCTGTAAACTTCAACACAAAGCTCTCGTTGTTCATGCACTTCTGGTCTTGCTCCAGAACTGGAGTTTTCTGTGCACATCCATTTTTACAGATCTGGCATATTTTTATACAGACTTTTGGTCTTTGCCTCTGGTGCAGATGCACTCTGACTTCAAAGGAAACACATAGAAATTAGTTGCCTTTTACGACATGCTTATTAGGAGACTGGGTTTATTCCCCTTCCCTCCCCCCCCCCCCCATGGCACCTCGGACCCACATAAGGACATTGTTATACAGTTCTGTTACATATTCTCTCCCTCTCATTTTCTTCCTTAGGCCAGTGAGAGATTCTTTTGATTAGCTGGCACAGTTCAAGGTGTGGATTTTATAAAATGAGGGGAAAAATAATATACACGCCAGCCTGATGCTGGGTTAGTTGATCAGACATCCTATATTTTTTAACAAGAGCAAAAAAAACTGACCTCACCCGTATATATATATATGATATATGTTAGAATTCCTTTGGGAGTCAATGAAAGCAGGCCAGATAGGCTCTACATTTTAAAAACTAACCAATGAAAGAATATTATTTATAGCATGGATTATTCTGGTATATAGGAAGCCACTGGTGTAGTAGCTAGACGCTCCCCTGTGAAACTGAAGGTCGTGGGTTCAAATCCAAACAGTGCTGGACTTTTTTTTAAAGACCTTGACTTCTAGGTCGACCCAGCCTTAAATAGTTACCAGGTGAGAGTCCTGGGAAGTAAAGGCGGCTGGCTTGAATCTGACCACATCCACTAAGTGCTGATTGGTTTATTATATGTATATCTAGCCCTATATGCCCAATATACCTGAAGGTGTGGAAAAGGTCCTCCTTTACTTTACTATTCATGCATATGCAAATTTGATTAATCTCTGAAGCTACAGAGCTTGGTAACTATCCTGAAGTTTTCTTTGTGGGATCTGTAAGCAGACACAGTGAGGACTCTCTCTGGGATCAAGTGGGCAGTGCAGCAGAACAGACCAAGTATCCATATATTAATAGACTAATTCAGCGGGGACAAACAGGGGATCTGGAAGATATTCAACACTGCAGGAGCAATTTATATACTGTTAAAAAAAAAGAAACGCATAGTTACTGAAACGAACAAACATACAATTCAGGGTTGTTTTTTTTAAATAAGGGGAATAAATAATATAAACGCTTGCCTGATGCTGGGTTAGTTGATCAGACATCTTACTTTCTTGGACAAGAGCAAAAAAACTGACCTCACCCATATATATATGATGTATGTTAGAATTCCGTTGGGAGTCAATGAAAGCAGGCCAGATAGGCTCTACATTTTACATAACAAACATACTCACAATTTTGACATTCTGCATCTTTGTAATGCAGTAAGTGAAATTACTCAAATTTCACACAAGATTACCTTAGGGTTTCACCAATCAATTGACACCTTTTTTTTTTTGCATCTGGGTCACGATAGTTTTTAAGCGTAGACCTTTCCCGTTAGTTTGGTGAGTGGTCTCCTCTTGTGTGGATCCGTGACTGGCATCTCCTGGGCATGGATATGATCAGATGTCTGATGTGGGATGGCTGCCCACTCTTCCTGGAGTGCCTGGAACAGAACACGACCACTGGCTGGAGCGACATTTCGGCAACAAACACGTCTTTGTAGCTCATCCCACATGTGCTCAATTAGACTCATGTCTGCAAAAAGGGATGGCCAGGGAAGAGTTTGAATGTTTTTGGCAGCCAGGAACTGAGTGGTCAACCATGCAGAATAGGGTCTGGCGTTGTCCTGTTGAAAAAGATATCTGCTGGCATCCCCAAATAAAAGGACATGTGGTCGAAGAATTTCATGGACATATCGTTGCGCATTCAAGCTTCCTTCAGTGTGACTCATTCCAGTGTAACTGATCATTTCCCATACCATTACACCTCCACCACAGTGCAGCAGAGCTTCATCAACACAATTTTGGGTTAAACCTTCATTTCGTCTACGGTAGACCCTACGCCATCTATCATGACGCTGCAACAAAAATAAAGATTCGTCACTGAACCAGACACGTCTTAAATGACTGTCACTTGCCTAGGAACGATGTTGGTTGGCCCAAAGAAGTCGATTTTGGCGGTGGCGACTTATGTTCTGTTCGAAGATGAAAGGTAGAAGAAAAATTAATGAACAAACAAACTTCATTTCTAAAGGGTCAATAGTAGAGATGCATTCGTGGCTTAGGTTTTTTGCAAGTCCGACTCGTAATTCCAACATACCGCGATCGAAACCCACTGCTGGCTGCGTGGATTTTTATTATGGTATGGGGCGTCGCAGGTCGACCCAGGCTAAAATAAGTACCAGGATGTATGTCCTGGGGAAGTAAAGACGACCGACGTAATGCTGACCAAATTACCTACCTAGTTCCGATTGGTCTATAAAAATATGGGTGCTCTTCCCATAAGCCCGATGCGCTTGAAGGCGTGAAAAGTGATGTTTACTTTTTTACTTTACTAATAGTAGAGATACATTTGCAGTTAAATCGATCCTTAACTTAATTTCTAGAAGGTTTGTCTGGAGATCCTGAGTGTAAAGGAGAGGATTACTGTGAAAAATCTGGTGTGTGATTTGCTTTTGAAGAGGCCAAATAAACAATGAAGTGGCCTATGAGAAGCCAGACTTTCTTAGTGCGCTGTTACCAATTATAAGAAGTAAAAGATAAAACTACCACTTCTCCATGGTCAGGCCTTGGCTAAGGAAGCACATCCTAGGGGAAAAAAGCAAGTTGAAGATGGAAGTACTAAGTCGAAAGGCACAGATAGTATGGAAGAATATTTTTAAAAAAATATGGTGCCACGCATACCTCCTGAATGTCATTGAAATGTAAGAGATGTAAAAGAAAGATGCAATGATTGGATTTTTTGGGGAATAGTAAATTGCATCTTTTGGAACTGAAAGAGTTAAGATATCAAAATGAATTTAAGAAATAACTAAACCAGAGTATTCTAAAGTTTACATTTCATCCCTAGGTTCAAGAATGAAACAACATTAGATTCATGAAGCCAGTAATACAGTTATGCCAGAACACCACCAGGTTTCACAGCTCACTCCTGATTTGACCCACCAGCCTTAAATCAGCTCTTGGCTTACAGACGGTCAAGATCCTGATAAAGGATCTCTGGAATTATTTGAAATGTATTCAGCCGGATTGGAAAACCAACAAGATTCAAGCAGTCCTAGTCAACAGAAAGATTTTCCTTCTAAAAGTGGACATTTGTCTGAAATCATCTTCACGCCAGAAGCTTCAAAGAAAGATGAAAATACTGATTTGATGGAAGGGATGCCAGCAAGTTTCAAATCCCCTCTGGCCGGAGTAAATGCTGGGGCTAAAGTTCACGAGAAGCCGTCAGATTCGAGTAACTCTGACAATAGTAAGAAAAATTCAAACGTTAGTCCGGAAAGCTATGGTCAGTTCAGACATCAGCAGTGGCAGCACACAGATGGGGACATAAGGCACCAGCTTCTGGTGCAGAGGATGCTCAGTAATCATGATGGTGAGTTTGTTTCTTCTTCTTCTTTCATTAGCTTGAAATAAATAATGTATATCTGCAATGCTGTCTCTAGTATGGACTTCACTGTATTTTGTAATTCACTTAGCTGCCCTAAAGTTTGGCTTCCACCAGTGTCTCTCTTGGCCAGTAGTTTTTCCTGGAAATGTTGTATTTGGGGCAGTTTTGGAAGACGTGGTCTGGGGTGCCAGTCACATGTTTAAAATGTCAGTGTGTGTGTGTTGTTTTTAGGTGTAAAAAAGTTGATAGCATCTTTCGAATTTTTCTTCTTCCTCTTTTTCTTCTTCTCTTCCTCTTCTTCTTCTTCCTCTTCTTCAGTCCTGTTGTGCATTTCAGTGTCAGGTTTTAAAGAGTCATCGGTCGCGAGCCTTGGTATGTGCCACGTAGATGCTGGTAATTATGGCCTTAAATATGCGTCTGTTCGTCACATGCACGGTAGATCTCTAGTTCTGCTTCCGTTATGTCTAAGGGCCAGAGCTGTCTGTGGTGCACTATCTGTCTGTAGTCTTGACACAAGCCTACACCATTTCCTCTGTTGTCTCTTGGTGTAGTTGAGTTCTGCTTCCGTGGCCACTTCTTTCCTGGTGTCGCCATTTCTAAACATCTCTCTTCTAGTTACATTTAGGGTGTCATCATACACATTTTTTTGTGTGTTGGCCACTTCATGTGTGTGGAGTAGTCATAGCGTTGCTGGCTAAACGCCCGTCTGCGGATCAGGATGTCGTATGTTCGCGCCCTGACAGATCCAGACTTTTTTTCCTTAAAAAATGACCTTGCCTCTCAGGGTCAACCCAGGGTACCAGGTGCATTCCTGGGAAGTAAAGGCGGTCGGCATAATGCTGACCACATCACCCACCAAGTACGGATTGGTCTGTAAAAATTAGGGTCCAGCCCTATGTTCCTAATACGCCTAAAGGCATGGAAAAGGGTCCTTTACTTTCTACTTCATGTGTGTATTTGGTTGAAGAAAAGACATACTAGAAGCCTTTTCCTAATACCCAGCTTAGGCAATGGACGAACGAACAAACTTTATTTTCAAAGGGTCACAAATTGGGTACGCAGGCCTGTCTTGTCATTTGGACCTTCCACTTATCTTTCAGACTGCTGTAGTATTTTAGCAATAAAGCATGTTATGTTCGTAGGTCAACAATATACATAATATAAATACTTTGAAGATCCATAGATGTAGAAGACCTTCAAACGTCACTTACATATGAATTAATGAATCAATCAAGAACTGACATCTTTGCACTCGGAACATTCTCACAAGTGCTCTATCTCCCCCTGCAGTAGTCAATCAAGAGTTATGTTTATTGTACCTGTTGTAACCTGATTAAAAGTCCACCTATGTTTCCCTCCCACAGTGTTGAATATCTTCCAGATCCCCTATTAGTCTATCTATATATGGATACTTGGTCTGTTCCGTTGCACTGCCCACTTGATCCCAGAAAGAGTCTTCACCATGTCTGCTTACAGATCCCACAAAGAAAACTTCAGGACAGTTATCAAGCTCTGTAGCTTCAGAGATTAATCAAATTTGCATACACAAGAATAGTAAAGTAAAGGAGGCCCCTTTTCCACACCTTCCGGTATATTGGGCATATAGGTCTAGATATACATTATAGACCAATCGAAAAAACAAAGGCATGGGTGCTAATTACATGCGCATACAAACATGCATACAAAGAAATACACATGTATACATACATACATACAAACATACAGTCAACATGTGCATACATAATGCACACATTCATATATAACATACATAAACAGTCAATACATGCATACTACACACACACTCATTCATTCACTCTCATACATACCCACACATTCATACCAATCATACATATATATATATGTTCATGTATACACACACATACACATCCTTTCACATACACATACATAAAAAGAATGCACCAAAACTAATCCATACACATATACGCTGGGAGTTTTAGAATAGTAACATCAGGCCTAGTCACTCCACTGACAGAATTTCTTGACAACCTTCTTATCTATCTACTGGATTACAACTCACCTAAGGACCTGACTCCCAAAACGGCTTTATCTATTTAGTTATGGCCCTTGGTGTACACTTCTTTTTTTAATGGCTAGTATTCATTTCTATTATTCGCAAGTGCCTTAGATGGGGGGGGGGGGGAATAGACGAACTGGCCCTCTAACAAGTCATTAAAAGAATAATATTTAGGGGGTTTTTTTCCTTCAGCGTCAGAGTGTATCTGCCTGAGAGATGAACCAACCATCATAAAAATAAAACAGATCTGTCAAATGGATGTGCACGCAAAATTCAAGCTCTGAAACGAGACCAAAATCCAATAGTGGGCGAACACCTATAACTTTCCACCAGAGTTTACAGCCAGCAAACACAAAGAAAAAGAAGAAGAAGAAACGGGAGTCTGGAGACATTTAATTCCTAGCGCACATACAAATAAAAATCATGGATATCTCTATAGCAGCAATTCCCAAACTTCGCCGCGGCACCCGGGGAGTTGCGACTTCTTTACAAATATTTATAGATATACAAGTTTTTTTTTATATATCTATTACATATGAATAGTCATACTTTTACTTATGTTAGGCGCCGTGGACAAATTTTTATTTTAAAAAGCCGCAGCGACTATAGAAAGTTTAGAAACAATTCTGCTCTAGAACAATACATAATATTTGTTTTCATTGAATAATTGCAGGGACGGATCACCCGGAGCCCCGCACTTCAAGTCCATTACGAAAAGTGAGGATCTGTACGGTGGCGCCTGGAATGCAGACTGTGACAGTCAGTCCTAGCAGTGGGACGCTGCCTCAGTACAACAAACTTTCTGGTAAGGTTTGTTTGTTTCTTCATGTCTTAGTTGAAATTTCAACTTTACTGCTGTCGGGTTTCCTCATACTTGCTCCGTTCCTGTGCCAGTGAAAATCAAATGAAATGTTCCTCGCTGTCTCATTTGAAAAACTGGTGAACGAACAATTAGTCCTGGAACAATCTAGAAATATGCAAAGGCAGTAAATGCATATGGCAGTTGCTAGATGCGTCAACGCTAACAGTTGACACCAGAAATGCAGTATTTTGTTGCTGGATATAGTCAGGCACAATAAGTTGGCTATCATCATCATCAAGTGCCTTGCCGACTGGCGTGGGCAATCATGCCTCTCCGTAATCCGCGATCTCCTGCAGCATGTATCAGTTCGTGTGCCGACACACCTCCATGCCATGCAACAAGACTGTGAAGCATCTTCTCTCGTTGTCTTCCTCCATCCCTCCTTCCACAGATCTTTTCAGTGGTCACAACATGTTCTATTTTCCCTCTTCTCATAACATGGCCGAAAAATGATGACTGTCTCCTTCTGATGTCAGTGATCACAAGTTGGCTATACACACGTAAAATTATTACATAAGGTATTTCACCAGCTCACATGTCAACACATTTCTTCATGTGTTGGATGGCTGCAGTTCCACAGTGAATACCTTGCTTTATTGATTCTGTTATGATAGTAGGAACCTGGTCTTGTCTAGTGTCCACAGAGTAGACGACGAATAATCTCTGCAATGGACTTCTGCAACTCCTTCGCATAGCAGCTGATGACAGTTTCAGGTTTAATAATCACAACACATGAGCTACGAGAGCCTGTCTTCTGTCACCATCTGACTACCAACTGCTGGCTTTCATTGGTCTAACAAACAACCTACAGCAGCTGCCCTCAGCGCCTACCGTTGACATGTACACGAACACAACCCTAACAAACAACCTACAGCAGCTGCCCTCAGCGCCTACCGTTGACATGTACACGAACACAACCCTAACAAACAACCTACAGCAGCTGCCCTCAGTGCCTACCGTTGACATGTACACGGACACAACCCTAACAACCTACCTACAGCAGCTGCTTACTTTACACATCCAGGTTCTGCTTAGACATCTTATCTCGGAGCCAAACCCTCAGTGCCTACCGTTGACATGTACACGAACACAACCCTAACAACCTACCTACAGCAGCTGCTTACTTTACACATCCAGGTTCTGCTTAGACATCTTATCTCAGAGTCAAACCCTCAGCGCCTACCGTTGACATGTACACGAACACAACCCTTACAACCTACCTACAGCAGCTGCTTACTTTACACATCCAGGTTCTGCTTAGACATCTTATCTCAGAGTCAAACCCTCAGTGCCTACCGTTGACATGTACACGAACACAACCCTAACTTGTTGTGGACACCTCATTGTCACCCTTCAATCAGCCTTCCGTCAGCATCAGCGCTGCCACTTTCCAGCTCTGGGGCCCTGTCACAGAATAACCTGTCTCCCCCTGTTCGACTATTCCCCCCATTTTTCCAGTGCTCCCTACACTCACTCACACCTATTCTGGTTCTCTATTTCACTCACTTATTTCATGTCTTGCAATCTCGCATCAACCCCAGGATTGTCCTGATTTTAACAACTTATCAAACCTCTTTCTTTAATAACGAATTTGTATTACTACAGTTCTATTGTGGAGTGCCTGGAAAGGAGAGAGCAAGAAATCAAGCACTGTTTCTGAATTCTGAATGGCACAACATTAAAAATGCCCCAAAACACCTTGAGAAATTGCTGAAAACCTACTGAAAATGGTTTGTGAGTTTGGCTACAAACTCCATTATAAAGTATAAGTTCTTCGGTGTAACTGTTAACAAAATATGGTGTCCATGGTAGGCCTTTCAAAATAAGAGGGTCCACTGGGTCCTAGCTAATTGGGTATAATAAATAGACAGGTTACTGATCGGCATTTGTAGAAAGGTAGAAGGATACACTAGACCCGTGTTCTTAAACCCGTGGACTTTTTTCTCTTCTAGAATCTAGGATTAACACACCAAAGACTTTCTATTTGTGTCAAACATAACATAACCCTTGACCCTTTTAGGGTCGTGGAGGTGTATTGATGGAAGCACTAGCCCATAAAACCCGCCTTTCTCTATCTTCTGCTTGATGAATAAGTGTGCTAACTTAGTCCTGTTTGTGTGAAAACTTTATAACCAAATGGAGAAATCGAATAGATGATTGTTGTAGCGATTTATGTCAGAATGAACGCTCCAGCCACACATCATTTTGTTTTAACCCTTGAGCAGAAGAAGCCTCATTAACTGGCATTTGTAGTTTTGTGACATTGGGTTTAACAAATAACCTGCTCTCTACATTTGTGTTTGTTTCATGTTTGGCTAGGGTCACGTGAGCCAGCAAACAATTTTCACTGAGGGTAAAAATGTTGAGGAACACTGCACATCATCATCATGTGGCAGGTCCTTTGCAGAGCGCCGCTCTCATCACAGTCTGCCTGAATGAAACACCGGCTCTCGCCAGTTCTCCCGCCTCATGCACTTTCATACTCAAGGAGTCACTTATATCTTGTGCCCATCTTCGTGTTGGTCGGCCCCTGCCCCTCTTTCCTGGTACCATGCCTTCTGCTATTATTTTTTCAAATCCTTTGTGGCGCTTGATATGACCAAAATATTTCAGCTTCCGAGGCAGGATGCTGTTTATCAGCCAATCTTCCTTGATGTTCAGATCTTTCAAGATGTCAGCATTTCTCCTCTTCTTTGTCCAAGATATTCTGAGAATCTTTAAATAGCATTTCAGCTTAAAAGCCCCTATTCTCTTTCTTAAGGGAAACACTGCACTAGACAACATAAAAAAAAAAAAGAAAAAAACTACGAGTTACTGTGCCAGGTGTTGAACATGTCACCTCCAAATGACGGATGCGCCTTGCTGTAGAAACAAGTGTACTAAGATACATGACCAGCTAGGTACCCCTGTAAAGGGTGTCTTCATTAGTCAGGTCTGTCATTAGGCTTGAGTCCACAGGTGTGGAACACAGACAGAAAGCATCTCAAACCACTGAAATGGTGCCACAGGTTGCAGAAATGTAAATTAACCCAGCCTAAATTGAATAACAAATACAGCAACAATTATAAACACATCGGACCATAACACTGTGTCTAGAATACAATGAACATTGGGGAAAGAGATTTGATATGGTCAGTTCTGTTAGCTGATTGGCAACCATTAGTCAGATTGCTTGCAATGTGACTAGGGGACTGCGTGATCTCGAGGTATGGCATCCACTTCGAGTGTTAGGGGTCTCAGGTTGAAGCCCCGATAAAGGCTGGGATTTTTTTCACGTGGACTTCTAGTAATTTCCCCTGGTTTCTGGGTAGTAAGACGCAATGCCCGTATGTATTGTTGTGCACGTAAAAAATACCTTGGCAGTTGGAAATCGAAAAGAGCAGCCTAATGGCACTCCTCGGGCAAAATTTGGAGTTAAAAATTTACCCACAGTATGTCAGGATCCTCGCCAGTGTATGAGTTTGTGCACTGCGCTGAGATTCTTCAGACTCAGGCTTGAGTTAGAAGTAGAACATATCAATTATGGTTTGACATCCGTGTGCCATAATGTTGATCCGTCAACTAAACTAGACTGAACTCAGCTTGCAATGTCTTCATATACATTTAATTTGTCTCTGCCATCAGAGGGAAGAGAAAAAAACAGCTACCCGTGGCAGGCACATCCCAGTTTGTCACCCTATATACAGTCGCCCAAAGGCAGGGGTATGTGTATGTTTTACATTCTTGTAGCCTGACATGTTATCATTTTGACACTCAGTGAGAACAGTAAAGTTAGGGACCCTTTATATGCCTCCAGATATATTGAGCATATAGAGCCCATCATCCTCATGTAAAAGGTCCTTTGCAGAACTCGCTCTCATCACAGTCTGCCTGAAAGAAACACTGTCTCTCTCCAGCTCTCCCACCTCATGCACTTTCATGTACAAGGAGTCACCTATATCCTGTGCCCATCTTCGTGTTAGTCAACCCCTGCCCCTCCTTCCTGGTACCATGCCTTCTGCTATTTTTTCCAATCTCCATGGTGATTGATACGATATATAAAGCTAGACCTGTATTTTATTGACCAGTCGGCACTCGGTGGATAACGTAGTCAACATCTTGCCACCGTCACTTCCCAGACTCTGTCTGGTATCCAACTCTAGAATGGGTCGTCCCCAGAGCCAAGGTCACTTTTGAAGAAGTCTAGCCACTACAGCACGGTCGCTGCATAAATTCAGAGGAAAGGCAAGATAAATATACAGACTTCTATTGGTTCCACTTGAATTGGAATTCTGTGTTGGCTGCCGAAGATGGGGACAGAGCACGATCGGAAATATCCAGAATACTGTGGTGTCAGCTCTTAACTTCACCTCATTATATTTGGTTCATTTCCTAAAGGGCATATTCAAATAAGGAAAGCATTTTTTTTTTTTAAATCTTGCAGCCTAATTTATGCCATCACCTGCAGGAAGTGCAACAAGACATATGTTGAGGAAAACATTCAGAAGTTATCTTAGCTTTTTTTAGCGGACCATCTCATAGATATTCACAATCTGGCCCATTAAACAATCTTCCTAAATTTTCATAACTCGGACCTTTTCTTTGTCTTTTGTCGTCTCACTGATCCCAGGTTGTAGCCCAGTGTCGTGATTTTCTGTATTTGTCTTGTGCTTCTCAGATGTCTTGTGCTTCTCAGATGTCTTGCGCTTCTCAGATGTCTTGCGCTTCTCAGATGTCTTGTGCTTCTCAGATGTCTTGTGTTTCTCAGATGTCTTGTGCTTCTCAGATGTCTTGTGCTTCTCAGATGTCTTGTGCTTCTCAGATGCCTTGCGCTTCTCAGATGCCTTGCGTTTCTCAGATGTCTTGTGCTTCTCAGATGTCTTGCATTTCTCAGATGTCTTGCGTTTCTCAGATGTCTTGCGCTTCTCAGATGGCTTGCGCTTCTCAGATGGCTTGCGTTTCTCAGATGTCTTGTGCTTCTCAGATGTCTTGGGTGGTGGATTTGTTCATTTTTTTGCAGGTTTCTGCTACACCATTTATCTATCTCTTTTTTGGTCTTCCTCTCGCCTTCCTCCCAGATGTTCTGCTGTAAGCAGTTTGGTCTGGCTGCATTCTCACTAGATGGTTGAACCATTTCATTCTTTGTCTGTCAGTATAATTCCAACTGGTCTTATTCCAACTTTCTCTCTAATGCTGGTATTCGTAACTCTTGTCTCTTCTAGTTTTTTTTTAGTGACCTTGCAGAGACAGCGCATTTCACATGTAGTTATTTTCCGTTTTAGTTTCCTATTCATTGTCCATGTTTGGCACTGATAACTTAAAGTAGGGATAAAGACCTTTACTCCATAGCTCTGACCACCAGTGCTAAATTGACCACTCTATCACGGCATGTAAAATCTTGCTGTCTGGATAAAAACCACACATTTTTTTTTTTATTTCCATTGTTTTGTTATTCTCTGTCTTGTGATGATCAGTGTTCGGCATAAATTCATGTTTTTTTTTTTGCCTTTACCGGCTGTAAACCCTGGGGGAAAGACCTGGTTGTTCATCCATTTCTGGAGTTTGCCTTTGTTCCAGGACTTGAGTTTTGTGTGTGCATCTGTTATACAGCTCTTCGTTATTTGTATGCAGACTGTTGGTTCCTTGCCTCTTAGGCAGATGTTCTCTGACTTTATAGGAAGCACCCAGTTAGTTGACTTACGACATGCTTGTTGGGGAGGCAGTGGGTCTGTTGTCCCCCCCCCCCCCCCCCCAAGGGGGCCCGGAACCCAGATGGGGGAGTAACTTCATCTTAAGTTTTTCGTTTATTAATTTTGTTTTCATAAATATTTCCCAATTCTTCTGTTATGTTTTGTTTCATGATAGCTTTTCCTCTCTCTCTTTTTTCCTTTTAATTTCATGAAGTTTGATGTAAATCAGATGTATACTAACCTCTCCTTTCGCTGTCCAAGATTTTTGAAACCCATTTTCCAGTTGGGGTGATCCCCACAGATCACCTGACCAGAAATAATCCAACCTCTTATTAATACAAGGTGTCCCCATCAGGGATGCGGTTTTTTCTTATTTTGAAGCCCCACCCTGGCTTGCGCCGGGGACCTTCAATATGGCCTAACGGCTAAACAGGGTTTCTGGGACCTCTCCACGGGTGATCCTCATCCACATGGTGGCATTTTGTGTCACCGGGTGTTTATCGCCTGTATGATGTCCTGGTGAGGTACAACTTACCTTACCTACCTTATAATCCAACCTCCATTGCAATCAAAGGGTAGAAATAGATTATAAGTGTTTTGCTAGAAGATTGATGTGTGTTTTTGTTTTAAAATTGATAGTGGATAAATTGTACTGGTCGGAGTCTGTGGCTTAGGCATTGCGAACACGCTTCGTTATGCCGTGGAGATATGTGTGATCCCAGCTGCGGACAATATGTCTTGCGTTGGTTTCGACACTGGTACTGAGAGCTGACCGTTCAGAGCAATGACAAACTACTGATCGTAAAATTTGCCTAGAAAAACCACAACAGCCAAAAATTGCTGTGGCAGGTTCTGCAACTTCCTGTAATAGATACACAACTAACATTGGAAATCAAAGGAGAACTACCATGTTATCTTTCTAAGCATAAGTTTACTAACAGGAATTGAGGAGGTGATATTTTAAGAAAAATTCATATGTCTTTGGACTAAATTGAAAATTTAAAAAAAAACTTTGTTTCGTGCCTCTGTCTACGTCCTACCCAGACAGGACTGCACATGACACCTGGCTGGTGTAGCTGTTACGGATGCCATAATTATAACCTTTTGGTAGATTGAACAGGGTATTATCTATCTTGTTGGTCTGCTGTCCGGATTAAAGAATTTTTTGTTCAATCTGATAATATTGTGGTTAACATTTAGGTAGCATCTCTGTGCGGACAAACCGATCGATTGATCGCCTGGATGAGGGTGCTGGGCATGAAGCTTTAGGACCGCATGATTAGTACATGCAGGTTAGGGTTTGATATTTTTTTCCTGTATAAAAAAATATCTATTACTGAAAATTTGAACCTCTGTCTTGCAAATGGTCAGCTCTGTCGCTAAGTCGATGTGAACGCTTCGTAATGCCCGGATGCCGGGTTCGATCCCAGCTGTGGGCCATGCACCTTGCGTTGGTTTTGACAGTGGTATCAAGAAAGCCGACCGTCCAGAAGCAATGGCAAACTACTGGACGTAAATTTGCCTAGAAAAACCACTGCAACGTCCTGTAAAGGATACACGACTAACTTCCTCTTGCAAATGAGAGCCTAGCATTTTTACCTGCTCTGCCAGTTTGGGTTGAATAAATAACCTGGCATAAGTGTAATTATAAACAAACTATTTCAGCCCACGAAACACAGGAGACCTTTAAGACTCCAAATCGTCACCTCTACAATGCGGAAGTTGGCACATCTCATCCGATGACACCATCATTACTGTCTCCAGCCGGTACTCCGTCGTTCATGATAACTCCAGGCCGCAAATTTTGCAACCCGTTTGAAATTGAACATGACAAGATGCACATGCCTCTGTTCAGTCCTAGCTTGTTTAGAGTGGCCGAGCCAGCGAGTAAGGAAGTGAAGACAGAGACAGAGGTACGCTTAGTTTTTAGTTGTCATCTGTATTTGTGTTGTTTCTGTTTTTCATGCATGTTTTGTGTGTGTGTGGTCAGTTAATTTTCACAATCCAGCATCATCATCAGATGACAGTGAAGTAAAAAACCCTATACACAAGGGAGATGAATGGTCGTGGACCAAGAGGCAGACCAAGAAGACAGTGGAGAGATAAAATCCAGACAGACCTGTAAACACTTGGTGTCACCAACTGGAAAAAGAAGGCCAACCAGAGAGATGAATGGTGGGTCGGGGGGGGGGGGGGGGGGGTGATATCTGCAGCAATGAACCTCAAGAGCTCGGAATGCTGAAGAAGAAGAAGAAGCATCAACAGTTGCAAAAGCATACAGCATAAGAGTGGAAACATCAAGATGCAGAGCAAGGTTAAGAAGAAGATGGATACACCGAGTTGAGAACTCACTGAAGCTCAGCAGTATCATCATGCAGCAAGCTAACGAGTGTGCACTGTCCCGGAAATGATTATTAGCTGTGCATAACAGCATTGCATTAAGCAAAGAAAGACAGTAGATAGAATTTTGAAAATAAAAGCATGTTTGTAACATTGAATTTTAAATTGCTGATATTTATGTAGGCTGCAAGAGTGACGAAGATAAAAAATGAAGTCATAGGAGAAAAAATCTGAACAAAATCTATACAAATACTATACAAATACTGAATTACCATATTTCCCCAAGTGTAAAAGGATTCCCATCTACAAGACACACCTTAATTTTGGGACCAGTAATTTGAGAGAGAAAAAAAATATGGTTACAAAAAGTGATTGAACTCACATTTTAATCATCATAGAATCCAGAAAACTTCCTCATCACTGTCAAAACTCTCATCCATATGATAATTCTTTAGCTTGTTCTTGTCTGTTATCTGACGATGAATCACTGCCTTTATGTACTGCCTCATGCTCAGTTCCATCTGTGGCATTTCAAATGCCAAATTTCTTGAATGAATGGACACCGATCTGAATCTTCGCATTCTTCTTCTTCTTCGCGTTCACCAGCTGTAAATTCCGGCAGAAAGTGTTGCCCGCACATTCATTTCACAGGTCTGATTCATTTGCATGCAGACTGTTGACTTCTTGCCTCTCAGGCAGATGTACTCTGACTTTGAAGGAAGCCCCCAATTAGTCGACTCTTACATCTTCACATTATCCCAGGATCTTTTCACCTCGGTACAAACTTCTCCTATAGATGGTTTCATCACACTACCTACTGGCGTCAAAATTGTCCAGAGATGACTTCATCCATTGGTTCCATTCATCTCCCCTGGCAACTCTTTTATTTAGCCCCTGAACCAGCATCCCAACTGAGGCCCTGTATGATATATTTTAACAAATCATGTGGTAACAATCTACAACCATTTTATAAGAGTTTTCAGACCCTATATTTTTGGGAGGTTAATGTGTCTCCTACTTCAGGAAATACAATATTTACAAAGACAGCAAATAAAATTGTTTGCTGCATAATAAAAACTATTTATACAATTTTTGTGTAATATTGTTTTTCAATTGTGTGTCTTCATATAGACATTCTGGTCAGTGGAACATTCTGCCCTGATGATGCCTGTGGAGATCAAAGACGCTGAAATCCGATTCCAGCATCGATACCAGCAGAGAATGTAAGGACTTTTACTCTAGTGTCTTAATCGTTGCTTCTGTACCCTGTGTGTGTTCCAGGATCCCATTGGGGAAGGAGGGAGAATACACCCATTGTCCCTGATCTCACCACTGGGGAAAGGGGAAAAATACACCCACTGCCCCCAATCCCAAAGCATGTCTTGATGGGTGACTGGTAAAGATTTTATGAAATTGCATGTGTTGGGTCAAAGGGCACACATATCACAGCTGAACTGTAAACAAATCAGCCACGCCTTACGGGCTCAGTTGTCAACTACCCTAAAATAACCGTTAGTGTTTTGTTATTTTGCTAAATAATGAATTCTATTTTTTTTTTTTTTAATTGTTCATTTCATTATACAGTAAAATCTCAACAGAACAAATTCCAAGGGACTGAAAAATCAATTTTTCTTTTTCTTAGAAGTCCATGCCATGTGGCGTTGGTAGTCATGTCTATCCACAATTTTTTGTCTCGTGTACTTTCAGTCAACTCTGACACAGATGATCCTCCATGCCATGATGTCAGACTGTCCAGCATCTGTTCTCTCGGTCTCCCTCTAACTTTCCTACTGTCACAATGCACTTGAGTTTTCTCCACCTCAACACAGGACCAAAGAATGTAGATTGTCTCTTTCTGATGTCGACAATCAGTTCTCTTTGTGAGCCAGTTTCTTTCAAGACGTCTTCATAACTCTTTTTATGTGTCCAGGGAATTCTCATCGTTTGTCTACAAAACTACATGTCTGCTGCTTCCAAATAATTTTTCAATAATCTAGCAACTGTCCATGATTCACTTCCATGAATCAAGATAAGATTTATATAGCTTTCCAGATCTCTCTTTCTTGTCTGAATTGATTACATAAAATATTCTTCATTTTTTTAAATGCTGCCTTTGTTTTTTTTTTTTCAAGAGTTCATATTTTTTTTTAAATTTGAATTCCTAACTAAGGACTTGAATTATTACACCCTTTTTCCCTGTGTGGGTTCCGAGACACTGTTCTCGAGACAAGTCACTGTGCATCAGCCTGAGCGGCAAGAAACCACAAATCTGCATACAAAATAAGCCAGATCTGTAAAATGGTTTTTACACAAAACTCAAGATCTGGAACAGGAGTAAAGTCCAGGCGTGGATGAACAGCCAGAGTTGATAGCTGGGGAACGCTACAAGGAAGAATACAGCCCTGCTGGGACCAAAATGTTGTTTGTGTTAACCAAGTGTTCTTTTTACCATGTGGATTTAATGAAGACAAATTATCTAGTTATGATATTAACTATTTTTCTAAATGCTGGCTGAAATAAAAGAAGTAAACTGACAATATTGAGTCTGCGGAAACAGTTTTATTTAAGAAATTATCATCGTACAACTCTTGAATACTTTTAGTGACCGAGAGCAAGATGCCAGAGTGCAGACGGCTATTAATAGATTCTTCTCTAGTGAGCATATTGTGCCTTCGCCGTGGAGTGAAAGGGTTGAACATTTTCTGCCTCGGACTCCAGGAGCGGCCAAATCAGGTAAAAATTTCATTTTATAGTTATTATATTACTTTCTTCTTCTTTTTCTTCCCCCTCGTCTTTTTTCCTCATCCTCCCTCCTCCGCCTCTAGTTTCTTGAGTGAAGTGTCAGGGAGACGAGTAATGATCTTCTGTGGGCTTTCTATGTTATGTAAGCTTTAACCCTAGTCTCCGGTCAGATCACAAGTTCAAGCCTTGATCAGATGAGATTCGGCATTAAGCCCTGAATCAAAGTAAATGAAGTTGAAGCCGGGGATGAGATCAAGTGTTAACTCTTTAATTAACAATCAGCACACCAGGTGCAACTGAATATCCTTCATCTGCTTCAGTCAATATGTTACGCATGTTTGTACATCTAACATTTAGTCAGAGTGGATTAAACTAAATTCAAGCATATATGTGCATCCTTTATGGTGCTGCTTAACTGACCACTGTGGATACAGACTAGCTGTGGTTTTGTCGTCATTACTGCCTCAGATGGACATCAGCTGTGATCTTATTGGACTGAAAGAGTTAAATCTAGGATCAGAAAGGGCAGGCATCATATAATGTTGAACCTGGGGTCGAATAGCACTGAGAATGAGTCAGACAGCACTGTGCATGGGTGTCAAATGGCCCTGGGCATGGGGTAAGATCAAATTGAGGGTTGCCTAGGGTAAGATCAAATTAAGTGTTGTCTGAGGTAAGATCAAATTGAGTGTTGTCTGAGGTAAGATCAAATTAAATGTCTGGGGCAGGATCAGATTATGTGTTGTCTGGGGTAAGATCAAATTGAGTGATGTCTGGAGTAAGATCAAATTGAGTGATGTCTGGGGTAAGATCAAATTATGTGTTGTCTGGGGTAAGATCAGTTTGAGTGATGTCTGTAGTAAGATCAATTTATGTGTTGTCTGGGGTAAGATCAGTTTGAGTGATGTCTGTAGTAAGATCAATTTATTTGTTGTCTGGGGTAAGATCAAATTGAGTGATGTCTGGGGTAAGATCAAATTGAGTGATGTCTGGGGTAAGATCAAATTATGTGTTGTCTGTGGTAAGATCAGTTTGAGTGATGTCTGTAGTAAGATCAATTTATGTGTTGTCTGGGGTAAGATCAGATTGAGTGATGTCTGGGGTAAGATCAAATTGAGTGATGTCTGGGGTAAGATCAAATTATGTGTTGTCTGTGGTAAGATCAGTTTGAGTGATGTCTGTAGTAAGATCAATTTATGTGTTGTCTGGGGTAAGATCAGATTGAGTGTTGTCTGTGGTAAGATCAAATTGAGTGTTGTCTGGGGTAAGATCAAATTAATTGTTGTCTGCAGTGTTCAAATTAGGTGTTGAGTCTAGGGTAGGATCAAATTAAGTGTTGCCTGGGGTAAGAACAAATTAACTGTTGTCTGTGGTAAGATCAATTTAACTGTTGTCTGTGGTAAGATCAGTTTAACTGTTGTCTGTGGTAAGATCAGTTTAACTGTTGTCTCTGGTAAGATCAATTTAACTGTTGTCTGTGGTAAGATCAATTTAACTGTTGTCTGTGGTAAGATCAATTTAACTGTTATCTGTGGTAAGATCAATTTAACTGTTGTCTGTGGTAAGATCAATTTAACTGTTGTCTGTGGTAAGATCAATTTAACTGTTGTCTGTGGTAAGATCAATTTAACTGTTGTCTGTGGTAAGATCAATTTAACTGTTGTCTGTGCTAAGATCAGTTTAACTGTTGTCTGTGGTAAGATCAATTTAACTGTTATCTGTGGTAAGATCAATTTAACTGTTGTCTGTGGTAAGATCAATTCAACTGTTGTCTGTGGTAAGATCAATTTAACTGTTGTCTGTGGTAAGATCAATTTAACTGTTGTCTGTGGTAAGATCAATTTAACTGTTGTCTGTGCTAAGATCAGTTTAACTGTTGTCTGTGCTAAGATCAATTTAAGTGTTGTCTGTGGTAAGATCAATTTAAGTGTTGTCTGGCTTTGATCAAGCTTTAAGTCTGGGTTAAGATCAATACACAGTTTTACATTCAGGATAAGAACAGATACAGTTGTATACTTAGGTCATTATTAAAACATTGCCACATTTGACCTGGGTAGTCGCCGTGGTGTTGGCAGCTAGATGCCCGCTTGTGGATCGGAAGGTGGTGGGTTCGGGTCCTCACGGAGCAGGAATGTTTTTTTTTTGTTTGTTTGAAAAATTACCCTGACTTCCAGGTTGACCCAGCCTTGAGTGGGTACCAGCTGCATTCCTGGGAGGTAAAGGATGCTGACCATATCACCCACCAAGTGCCGATGGGTCTATAAAATATAGGTCTAGCCCTATATTCCCAAATACGCCTGTGGGTGCGGAAAAAGGCATTTTTTTTTTTTTTTTTACCTTTTACCAGCCAGGTAATTGCAACTAAAAAAGCTAAATCTTCTTCATCACTGTTTGTCCATGTGTTGTAATTTCACTGTGCCTGTTTACAGGAAAGCTGCAATATTTGCCCCTTTTGACCGACGCATCCAGCCCAGACTGGCAATTGTCGTCTGGGTGAGTCTTGACAGAAAATGCTAAATACAAAAATTGTTTGATAAACAGAAGAAAATAAAATTGTATATCTTTGTTCCACAGTATCTAGCCAAACAACTTTTTCAGTTCCCCCTGATGTTGATTTATTTGCTCACTTGGAAGGTAAGAAAATGGCAACATTTAGAAAAAAACATTAGATTATGAACCAAATGTGTTGACCTTGTAGAAGTTGTCCTTGTAGATGTCACTGCAGCTATGTTTGTTTGTGTTCCCCAGCTTTTAAGCTCTGGCAGAATGTCCTGGTTGTTTGTCAGTTTCTAGACTTAGGTGGCTAAATTCAAAGCCTGAGTTTTGCATATGCATCCATTTTACAGATCTGGCTTCTATTTATGCAGGCTGTTGGTTTCTTGCCTTACCTGTGTGGGTTCTAGAGCCCTATTATAGGGAAAACAAGAATAGACCCACTGCCTACCCAAAAGTATGTCATAAGAGTCGACTAACTGGAAGCTTCCTTCAAAGTCAGAGTGCATATTCCCGAGAGGCAAGGAACCAGCAGTCTGCATACAAACCAGTCAGATCTGTAAAACGGATTCACACGCAATGCTCAGTTTTTGGAACAGGACTGCAGTCCAGAAGTGGATGAACAACCAGAACTTTCCATCAGAGTTTACACCTTGTGAGCTCGAAGAAGAAGGTTCCTTGCCTCTCAGGCAGATACACTCTGACTTTGAAGGAAACTTCCCTAATTAGTCACTTTTTATAAAATGCTGGCTTAGGGGACAGTGGTTACATTCTTTTCTCCCCCCCCCCCCCCCCCCCAAAAAAAAATAGGGCAGGGGAATTCTATCCTCACTTGGCATGGAAAGCTACAGCCAGCTAGTGTTGGATTAAGTATTACTACAGAATTCAAACAAGATGCTTATTGATGATGTCATTAGGAACTTTTATGTTTGTTCAGCTTACTTTTTACTTATATTTTTTTCGGATTCGTAGAAAACAAAAATTACAAGCTTGATCCTTTTTTAACCCTCCGAAGGACTGCTATATTAAAGGAGGTTCATTTGCTAACTGAGCTTGAATTCTCATTCTGTGTGGCAATCAGTTTCATCTGAGTTTGGTTATTTGTAAAATGTCCGACATGGTCTGGCTTGGCGGCTTTTGGTGGGGCTGTTTTTCTGCGTTAGGTAGGAAGTCTGCTAGTCCTGAAAAGGACTAACAGATTGCCTGGGCCGGGTTGGAATTTGTTTGGGTGGGTCTTCTGGGATCTAGTGCTTTTTACATCCTACTTGAGGGCTATTCAACTAGGTTTACTCAGTCAGAGGTCCAAATTCTTAAAAAGGGGGATTGTTACGGGGCCAGAGGGTCTAGACCCAACACAGGAAGATCATTAGTAAAACACTTTTGCTCTGTGTGCCACTTGCTAGGCCTGCGCAGGCCACCAATTGAATAGCCCTGTCCTACTTGATTACAAATTTTATCTAAAAGAGATAAAAATGCATTTTGCATATTTACTGAGGAGGGGATCTTAGCACTTATGGACTGAATGATTCAGTGTGCAATGAGGATAATCTGTCTGTGTGCAATGAGGATAATCTTTCTGTGTGCAATGAGGATAATCTGTCTGTAAAGGACCCTTTTCCAAGCCTTCTTGCGTATTGGGCATATAGCGCTAGACCTGTATTTTGTAGACCAATCGGCACATAGTGGGTGATGTGTTCAGCATCATGCCGGTCACCTTTACTTCCCAGGACCTACCTGGTAACCACTCAAGGATGGGTCGACTGGGAGCTGTCATTTTTTGTGTGTAAAGTTTGAACGCCATGATCTGAACCCACCCCATTCTGATCTGCAGGAGAACGTACAGAAGAAACCCTAATACCCATGTTGCAAAGAAAGTTAAAGGTGCTGGACTGAATTCTATCTATGATATCCAAAAGACTGCTCAAGAGTGAAATGTATATAATACTATGTCCTATGTTTGCATAAATCAGCGTATCTCAACCTGTTGGTCGCTACCCTTTTGTGGGTCAAATTATCCTTTCACAGGGGTCGCCTAAGACCATCGAAAAACACATATTTACTGAAGTTATGAAGTAGCAGTGAATATAATGTTATGGTTGAGGGTACACCACAACACAAGGAACTTATTAAAGGGTCACAGCATTAGGAATTTTGAGAACCACTGGCATAAAAGTATGATGGCGAAAATAATTTAATGTTCAATATTTCTCAACTTTAGGTAGATATCAACTTCCAGATTACAAGACAGATCCTTCGCCCACTGGCGATTCTTTTGGGACCTCCTTTATACGAAGGAAACTGCTGACCCAGTTGAATGGCAGCGACGGTGAATTGTTTGGGTCGCCTTTATTACCTGCCAGGTATTGTGTAAACATCACTGGCTGTCGTCGTTATCACCATCATCATGCAACACATATTGTCCGGATGATTTCTTCATTTTTAAAACTGAAAGTGCTGAATATTTCAGCAGCTTTTATATCTAAATGGTTTTGATTTTTCCCAGCAGAGTTGCTGGCCTCACATAGACAATGTATTGATCGGGACTCATAGAAAGATAGAAGGACACACTAGACAACATACAAATCAAAAGCTATAGTCAAAGTGCCGGAAATTGAACCTGTCACCTCCAGATGGCATGTATGCCTCACTATGGAAACAAGTGTAATAAGAACATGACCAACTAGGCACCCCCAAAAAGGGCTTCTGTTTATTAATTGCTTGGCTTCACGTAGAGCAGGCGTAGACCAAAATAGGTTTCTTGTCGCCCGTTTGACAACAGTATGATAACCTAGTCTCTTTATCTTTTTTTGACCTGACGAAGCTTAAATTAGATTTTTAACTCCAAATTTTGCTCGGGCAGCGCCGTTAGGCTACTCTTTTTTTTTTTTATTTCTAACTGCAAGGTATTTTTTTTTTATACGTGCGCAACAATACACATGGGTGTCCGGTGTTACTACCCAGAGACCAGGGGAAATTACTAGAAGTCCACTTGAAAAAATCCCAGCCTTCAACGGGGTTGGAACTCGAGGACCATCCAATGTAGCTGCCCGTACATTCAGATATGTCGCTATGGCAGATGCCATTGGTCCTCATGCGCACCCGCCACTGGGTAAAAGGTCATGAATATAGTAACTAACACACAGATGTACCCATAAGGCTTTTTGAAAGTTAATTTGAAATCGTACATTTCGTTAGAGGTCACAATAGTCCCTACATTTTTGTTTGTTTTTTAATGTTCTTAAAAAGCGTTGTTAAATTCCATTGGTCCTATGCGCACCCCAAAATTCCTACAGATTCATGATCCATTTTGATTTAGCATTTTTGGGACAAAATGGTTAAGAAATACTGGTATTTGAATCTAAGATCGCTCACACCCAATTTGAGAATCATATTTCTGGTCCACTTTATACCCCCACTCCCCCCAAAGCAGGCCGTAAGAGTTGACTAATTGGAAGCTTTCTTCAAAGTAGGAGTACATCTGCTGAGATGCAATAAACCAGCAGTCTGTATAAAAAATTTGTCATACCTGTGAAACGAATGTGCACGCAACACTCAGTTTCTGGAACAGGACTAGAGTCCAGAAGTGGGCGAACAACTATAACTTTCCACCGGATTTTGAAGCTGGGGAATGTGAAAAAGAAGAAGGAGGAGTGTCTTAAACAAATTTCCTGGTAATCACTGCAAATTGTTTATTACATCAGTTATTCCCCAAAAAAAAAGGGGGGGGGGGAGGGGCTGGTACAGCATGCCATCAGTGCTGCAGTCAGGTGTGAGTGGGGGACTCCTAGTTCAATGAGCCATTTGTAAGCCTGCAAGAGTAGGGTGAGTTCCTTCCTTTCTAAGTGCTCAGCAGCTGTAAACTCTGATGAAAAGTTTGGCCACTTTTGGGCTTGGCTTTTGTTAGTCTTAGTCTTAGTCTAAGGTTTCAACTTCACCGCAATCGGGTTTCCCCATACTTGCTCCTTTCCTGTGCCAGTGACAGTCAAATGAAATGTTCCTCATTCCTCACTGTCGCATTTGAAAAATAGTAAACAAACAATTGGTCCGGGGAACAATCCAAAAATATGCGCATGCAGTCAATGCATATGGCAGTTGCTAGAGGCACCAAAGCTAACAGTCGCCACCAGAACTGCAGTTTGTCGTTGTTTGAAGTAGTCGGGCACGATAATTGGTTATTATACATACGTAGAATTGTTAAATAAGGTATTTCACCAGCTTACTTGTAAACTGGTTCCGGCCATATTGATATACCATAACACAGCCGCTGCACAAATGAAAGGATTCCACAGGAAAAACATTAGCTCACAGGGTTGCACCAAGCACCAAATTCAATAGCTCAGGCAGTGTAACCATAGACTACCGTCCACGTGTGGAGACTGCATTAGCAAAATGCAGTCAGAAGCAAAAATAACTTTAAAGCTAAACATTTTGCCATGCCTAATCCTCCATTTTAGGCTGGAAGTCTTGTTCAACAGCTTTTTTTTCCATGCACATCTGTTTTACAGATCTGGCTAATTTTATGCAGACTCTTGGATCCTTCCCTCTCAGGCACTTGCACTCTGACTGATAGAAACAACCTTAATTATTCACCTTTTACAACATTGTTTAATTAAACTGATTTTGTTTTGTTGTTTCTAAAGAACACCTGGTCAAATGTTGGAGTCTCCATCTCCAATCAAACAGACGACACCTGAGTGGGAGAAAGGCACACCCAATAAAGTCGGCTCTGTGAGTGATTTTCTTCTTTGTGCTCATGCACTCAGTTTGTTTTTTCTGTAGGCTAGGGATTGAATAGAGCAGTCTCTCTCTCTCTCTCTCTGTCTGTCTGTCTGTCTCTCTTTCTCTATCAATCTGTCTCTTTCTCTCTCTCTCCCTCTCCCTCTCTCTCTCTCTCTCTCTCTCTCTCTATATATATATCTCTCATACTCACACACATACTCCCTCATACATCTCTCTGTGTCAGCATATCTGGCTCTAGGAATTTGGCTTTGTAGTCTCTGAAGTGCCGAGTTCGATACCATATGCGGACGATATATGTCTTATATATATATATATATATATACTGTGATATAAGAGCTGATATATATCATATAACATACATACATGAGTGGCAAGCTGCTGGGCGTAGGAATATGCTTTGTAGTGCTAAAAAACCACAACAGACCAAAAAATGCTGGGGTTGGTTCTGCAACGTCCTGACCAAGAGCTACATTCAGGAAACTAAATGGCATGCATGGGCGTAGAATATGCCTGGTGAGTGTACATATGTGTACGTGCTGAGGTTGGTTCTGCTGTGTCCTGCAAGAGTATGCATGCATGTATGACTATGTAAGTGTTTGTTATTCTTGAAGGTCTGAAGTAGACTTACTCTGAAAGAAAACACCTATAATTAGCCGCCTGTTACAGCATGCTTGATAGGGGACAGAAGATCTTAAAAAAATTTCTCCTTTAAAATGTGGCACCAGTGCCCACACAAGGAGACCGTATTTTTTATGAAATGTTGATCATCATCATCATAAACTCTCCGTGTGAGTTCTGGGGCCCCTTTGTGGGGAAAACAAGAATGGACCCACTGCCTCCCCAACAAGCATGTCGCAAGAGTCGACTTATTGGGGTGCTTTCTTTCAAGTCAGAAATATGGCTGTTTTCTTGGATATCCAGGACTTTGTCTGAGAGCAACATAGCTCGGATTTTAGTTCGGTTAATCTGGTGGAGGGAATGTGTTGAGAGAATCCTATACAACATAGAAATCCATTAAAATCCACCGCGTCACGTCACACTGCATCCGCCTGAGAGGCAAGGAACCAACAATCTGCATACAGTTAAGCCAGATCTGTTAAACACAACACTCAGGTTCTTGAACAAGACAGGTTCTTGAACAAGACTAAGCCCAGAGATGGGCAAACAACCAGAACTTTCCATTGGAGTTTAAAGTCAATGAACGCAAAGAAGAAGAAGAAGAAGATCATCATAAACCACTTCTGCTGTTAAGCGTCGTGGAGAGGAATAATTTGTAATCCAGTGCACGCTGTTTGCCGCTGGCTATTTTCATGCCGTGAAAGTGTAGAATGACTTTGTTGTCTTCTTGCTCTTGCAGCTGATCTTCTGAGATGTAGTGCCTGTGATAGTATTTGACTTTGCTGCATTTCAACAAGATGACTAGACCATTTGTGATCTGCTGTTTCTCAATAGATCTAGTACAAGGTGTTGTTTCCACAATCTATCAGTCATGAAATGTTAGTGGATATATACACAAAAAATGTGTGTCCAGCATAATTTGCTGATCCTAGGAAAATGGTTGTTTACATTTATCACATAAAAGTGTGTATGACTTTTGTTTAATATAATCTGACTGACATTTTTTTTTTTTTTACTGTTTAAAGAGTCATTTCTCATCTAGTCCAATCTGTCCAGCAACCAATGAGATAGGACATTACAATGACCTTGACCTGCTAGCTTCACCAGAATTGTCTCCAGTTGCTGGCCGTGGTGAGTTAAATATTTTCTGTTACATTCTGTTATTGTCGCCGTGGCATAGCTGCTAGACGCTCCCGTGCGGATCAGAAGGTCGTGGGCTAGCTTTCTGGCAAAGCCAGACTCCTTGCAAAACTGACCTTGACTTACAGGTCGACCCAGCCCTAAGTGGGTACCGGGCGCAGTCCCGGGGAGTAAAGGCGGCCGGCATGTTGCTAACCACATCACCCATCTTGTGCCGATTGGTCTATAAAAAAATATAGGTCAAGCTCTATACGCATTAAGGCGTGGAAAAGGGACATTTACTTTACTTTTACGTCTTGTTATTGGCGTCCATGCCCTGTCGGCTTGTGTGCAAGTATGTATCTTTAACTGGGAATAAATTCAGCTATAAATACAGTCTAGCTATGTCTGCCAATGTGTGAGATCTCCAGACCAAGTAGGACAGTGAACCATTTAGACGAGTAATTCCCAAACTGCGCCAGGGAGCCGCGGCCTCTTCTCAAGGGGTTCCGCAAAATATTGTAAAAGCTTCGTAATTAAAATAACCAAGACACAAATAGTCACACTTTTACTTGGGTAAGGGCGCCGTGGAAAAATTTAAATTGAAAAAAAAAAAAGGTGCTGCAACCAAGAAAAGTTTAGGAAACACTGATTTAGACCATTAGTGATGTATATCAAGTGAAATGGTTTGCCCACTTAGAGAGAATGCCTTGTGACACCATACCATACAAAGCATACATGGAAAGAGAAGAAGGACGTAGAGCACGGGGTAGACCAAGAACAAGGTGGAAGGATAACATCAGAGAAACTCTACAACAGCACGATGTGCCTATGGTCGAGGCAGCCAGAAGAGCTAGAAACAGAACCTTATATCTCCCTCGACACCCACAGCGGTAAAAGAGGAAGTGAAGAAGAAGAAGAAGTGATGTATATCGAATAAAGCATATAAACTTGTGAACGTTGACTGATTCTTGTTGAGAAGACTACGAGCTGTTATGCCGGTTGTGAGTGACGTCAGACATGAGCTGAGTATCACTTCCTCTAAACATTGAGCCACCACAAACAGACTGACTCAGTACAGCTATGTGTATAATTTGATGTGGGTTATAAACAGGACAGTTCGCTGCCCCACTTCCCAAAGAAAGTTTGGCAGTACTATAAACGGCGACCCTAAGGGACGCTGTCTCTTGTTTGTTTACTTTCACATAATAATATTCTGTAATATTTAATATTGCTTTATCCCTGTGTGGGTTCCGGGGTCCCATTGTGGGGAAAACAAGAATAGACCCACTGCCTACCGGAAAGCATGTCATAAGAGTCGAATGTTTGGGAGATTCCTTCAGAGTACCTCTGCCTGAGAGGCAAAGAACCAGCAGTCTGCATGCAGATGAGTCAGACCTGTGAGATGGTTGTGCACGCAACACTCAGGTTCTAGAATAGGACTAGAGTCTAGAAGTAGACGAACAACCAGAACTTTCCATTGAAGTGAACTCGAAGAAGAAAAATAATATTGCTTCAGGTTAGGATTAGCCCTAACTCTAAACCTAACCTAATCTCAAACAAAATTAAATATTTAAAAATATTATTTTGTGAACTCACACAAACAATAAGTCTTTTAGGGTGGACATGTAACATTTTTACTAGACATTTGAGGAAAAAATACTGACGGAGAGAAGAAAAGGCTAGAATCACAGGACTAATCCTGCGTGTGTGTGCTGATTCTTTAAGCATGATCCATGATAAGTAAAAAAACCCAAATACAGAAAGAAAAGAGACTCACTGACGGTGACTAAGAAGATGAAAGAGGAGAAAATACATTGCCTATACACTGTCAGATCATCTGTTTTGTTACAGGGCTTAATACTTTCTCAATAGGTGCCATGCTTCCCCCTCCCGGATAGGTGTTGCTTTGTTTTGGGTGTTCACTCTTTGTTTGATTTATGAAAAGCTCTATTTAATATTTTCCAGCAACAAAGTCACTCAGATCATCAGGAGTTTTCAGCTCAAACCACAGTGATGGCAGTCCTCGAGCCGTAATGCAGCTGGATTTTTCTTCCATACTTGGTGGGTCATTTCTGATAATATCACTAAATCGTAGGTGTGACCAAAACACTTTTTACCTGAAATGCTATAAAAAAAATTTTCTTACAATACCATGACCAAGAAGAAGAAAACAGTGACATCCGACATTATCTGAGCATCGGGTAGAACTGGCTCATAAACAGTATCCTGTCAGTAAAGCTGAGCTATTTTTTGGCCACGTTAAACATCATGGTGCCCTGGAGAAAACGGTGATGGAGGGTAAGTTTTTGGAAAACAAGGCAAAGGCAGACCTCTTCAAACGTGGACACATGACATCAAAGATTCATTGGCTATGAAAGCACGTGGGGGCGGAGAATTTGCTGAAAGAGAGAGAGAGACTTTCTGGCGCGCCGGGATGAGAACGACTTTCTATAGAGATTGTTGGTGGAACTGAAGTAGAAAAAAAAACCTGATAAGAAATATTTAAATACACAGGCAATAAATTGTGCATTATAATATTTATTTTTTATCATTATTTTGACAGTGGGAAACATTGTTTTTGGTTAGTAACGATGTTTTTTTTGTCTTCTGCATACTGATGGTGTTTTTTTCTGTCTTTTGGATACTAAAGGTGTTTTCTCTATGCTAACGGTGTTTCCTCTGTCTTTAGTGTGAATTAAGAATCGGCATCACAAAGCTCGGGACACCCCTATAAGTACTCCGTCCCCCTCTTCAGCATCAAGCGAAAAGTTCCAGTTCCAATGGTACCAGTAACGGTCTGATTGTATATCTGTCTCACCTTTTCCCTGAATGTTGAGTGCCGGCCAGATCCCCACGCAGCACCATTCTCTCCAGACTGTAATGGTCTATCTGTGCTTCCTCACTGTTCAATCACTCTCAAAAAGCCCTCAAACATCCAGCTTGTCATAGATCAGTGGTGCAGAACCAGCCAGTCTAACTGCCTGCTTATTTCCCAACACACCTGCATCACCTGGAGGATGCTAACTACACAGGACTTTTGAAGTGATGCTTCCCACTCTGCACGGAGCATGCCTGTCTCCACCTTTCTCAACATGCTCTGTGAGTCAGTTACAATGATGGCATGTGTGTACAGTTTATTCTCAAACCAGCAGAAGGCAGCAGTGACTGCCTCTACCTCCAAATTCAATCTAGACATTGTGATATCAGATGCCAGGCTTTGCTGCACCGAGCGACATTTTCTATGAACCCCCATGCACTTCGTCTGCCCCTCAGCACAGAGCCATCTGTATAGATAATCACATCACCTGGGTGGGAATTGTCATGAATCATTTGTTGAACTTCTGATTCTGCAGCACCTGCTAGCCAGTCCCTGCACTAACGACTCAAAGTGATAAGAACCCTACACAAGTCTGAAACTTGCTAGGACACTCTGAACCACTCCTCTCTTCGCTTAAACTTATTGAGCCAGCACACAAGTCTGAATTCATTTTCAGCTTGCACCATCCAAGACCTTGTTCTTTTCAGTCTGTGATCCTTAGCTCTACCCAGGGCTTCATGCAGGAGGTGTTTCTTGTCTGCAGCTACTCTGAGAAATAACTTTGCTTGCATAACTTTGAGCCTGTCAGCAATAGTAGGCATTGCAAGTATATATCTCATACATACTACCGGGGTATTACATCCCAGAATTACCCGCATGACTTTATTCTGTATATGTTCCTGTGTCTTTTGGATACTAACAGTGTTAACTCTTATCTTCTGGGTGCTAACGGTGTTTCTTCTATCTTTTGGATACTAATGGTGTTTACTCTTGTCTTCTGGATGCTAACGATGTTTCCTCTTGTCTTCTGGATACTAACTGTGTTTACTCTTGTCTTCTGAATACTAACAGAGTTTACTCTTGTCTTTTGAATACTAATAGAGTTTACTCTTGTCTTCTGAATACTAACAGAGTTTACTCTTGTCTTCTGGATGCTAATGGTGTTTACTCTTGTCTTCTGAATACTAACAGAGTTTACTCTTGTCTACTGAATACTAACAGAGTTTACTCTTGTCTTCTGGATGCTAACGGTGTTTACTCTTGTCTGATTGATGCTAACGATGTTTCCTCTTGTCTTCTGGATACTAGCGGCAATTACTCTCGTCTTCTGGATGCTAATGGTGTTTCCTCTATCTTTTGGATACTAACAGAGTTTACTTTGTCTTGTGGATACTAACCGTGTTTCTTCTGTTTGCAGATGAGCCAGAGGGACAAGATAAAACAGGAACATTGCTGACAGATGTGTTGGTCCAGCAAGAAATGAATTCAGCCAGCAGAACTGAAGCCCCTTCTACATCGACCGAGCGCTACTTTCTCACATCAAATATGTCTCAAGAAAGTGATGACAATTCAGACAACAACAAAATCAGCTCGGATCATTTTCAGCCATCAGTGCTGATGTCTGCATGCTCTACAGAATCCAGTGATACAGCTGTTGTCATGAGACAGTCACAATCCAGCCAAGATACTGGCTACCAGACTACCAGTTTGCAGATGACAAATCACGAATCAACATCCTCACAAGAGGCTCAACCTGCAGCTTCTTCTTTCAGTGCAGAGCTGCGTCAGTTTCCAGTTACATTTGGTTCAGATGTGTTTTCTAACATTAAGCAGGCACATGTTTTTCATACGAACAAAGCGGACAGTGCAGCTGGGTTCATTTACAGGCCTAACAGGAGCCTGCAGGCAGACGGTAGTCTCCTTGAACTTGCCTTTGAATCCTCAAAGGAAAAGTCTTCGTCTGCTGATGATGTAGCTTTCTGCAGGAAAACAGACAATACGTGCCGTGTTAGAAAAGTACGAACACTTGCTGACATGCGCCATCTCAAAGAGAAAAGCAGTGTCAGCAGGGATTTAATCCAGTCGTTTAATGAGGAACAAGAAAGAACTCAAGACTCAAATTTTGCAACAAACAGCTCCTGGCCAGAACTGAATTCATCCAGTTTTGTTCCTGTAGCTTGCAGGATTATCGGGCAATATGATCCTACCTCTACATTTTCAGAAGTGCCGCATGTTCATCAAGACTTTCACACTTTATTGCCGAAAGGATCTGATGAAAATGATAATGCTCATGATGCTCCAAGTGTAAGCAATATTAGCATCCAAAGTGCAGTCTCGTTTTTTAATTCGTCTGTAGAGAACAAGGTCGGGAGTTCAACTAATGATGTGAATATGTCAGAAGAAGTCAGTGTTTTATTAGAGCCTACGAGAAGCCGGCAGCCAGCACAATTTTTATTTGGCAATGACAGGACTTTGCAGGAAGCCAGAATGTTGTTGAGCAGATCTGAGGAGTTCCGAAAGAAAATCGAGCCTCAAGCATTGGAGTCTGATTCCCTGTATCCGGTTATATCTGGTCGTGTTGATCATGAACATCCTTTTGCTGCACAGAGCTTCAGTCCTCTGACAGAGGTGACCCCAAAGTCTGAAGCTCAGCCATATAGACTTGAGTCTGCAGATTTTTCAGATATGGTACTGCTGGTCGGTGATCAGAAAAGAAGTGGTCCTTTAGCAGGATCCAGACTTGGAAGTAAGTTGCGTATTTAAAGAAGTGTGCATGTCCTAGGTGTCCTAAAACATTTTTAGGTAAAGTAAACAGTAAAGGACCCTTTTCCACTGTTTTGGGCATATAGGGCTAGCCCTATATTTTATTGACCATTTCGCACTTGGTAGGTGATGTGGTCGACATTATGCCGGCTGCCTTTACTTCCCATGACTTTACCTAGTTCTCATTTAAGGCTGCCTCAGCCTGAAAGCCACGGTTATCTTGGAAAAAAAAGTCCGGCTCCCTCATGACCTGAGCCTACAACTTTCTGATCCGCAGGTGAGTGTTTAGCCACTATACCACACTGGCTCCTTAAAAGGACAAAATTTGGAGTTGAAAATCTACCCAAAGTATTTCAGGATCCTCGCCGGTGCTACAGAGCCTGTGCAATGTGCTGAGCTTCTTCAGATTCAGACTGGAGTTAGAAGAAAAACGGAGCACTTATAGGTTACTACCCATGTTCTGTTATGTTGATTCGTTGTTCAAACTTCACATACAACAGCTGCTTAAAAAATATTAGCTGTGTTATGAAAATTTGTTTGTTGGCTTCTTTCTATTTTCCAGTTCCTACAAAAACCACACTGTCTCTGGGTAAACATGGTCTCCAGAAATAAGCCCTAGCTTCATTTGTAAGGATGTTTTAACATAAACCCATTCCAAAAATAGTTAAGATCATCAGCTAGATAAAGACTTGATGCCGAATGTGCACATTCCAAAAATAGTTAAGATCATCAGCTAGATAGAGACTTGATGCCGAATGTGTTCCAAAAATAGTTAAGATCATCAGCTAGATGGAGACTTATTGCAGAATGTGCACATTCCAAAAATAGTTAAGATCATCAGCTAGATAGAGACTTGATGCCGAATGTGCACATTCCAAAAATAGTTAAGATCATCAGCTAGATGGAGACTTGTTGCGGAATGTGCCCATTTGATAATGACCAGATTTGATTCATAATTAATTCAAGGTACATCCTCATATACTTTCTGTCCTCTTTTACCGCTTCGGGTGTTGAGGGAGATATAAGGTCCTGCTTCGTGCTTTTCTGGCTGTTGTGACCATAGACACATCGTGGTGCTGTAGAGTTTCTCTGATGTTATCTTTCCATCTTGTTCTTGGTCTACGTCCTTCTCCTCTTTTGGTGAATGCCTTGTATGGTATAGCATCACAAGGCATTCTCTCAAGGTAGTCAAACAGCAAATGTTTAATCTGCACACAGACAAACCTGATGCAGTATTTATTTTCTACTAATCGTAATGATATTGGGACCCTTTTTGCCCTTTGATTTGCTGTCTTTGTGTGTAATTTAGACTTGGTTCTGTGCCGACTTTATCACGGAAATTCTCATTCCAGATTTTATCTGTGCTGGTCACTTCTAGTCTTTCTCAGACACCTCATTTCCAAGGTACATCATTCATTCATTCATTAATTCAGTAGCATGTCCCTCGCGGAACCTCGCTGCCATAACAACCCTCCGGAAAACCTTCCTATCCTGAGCAAGATGTCCTGCATCTGATACACCCATCTGGAGATCATCTGCCACATCCTGCACCCATCTTCTCCTTGGCCTTCCTCTTCCTCTCTTCCCAGGCATATACCCCTCCATTATTGTTCTCTCTAGACTTCTATGACGTTTCAAGTGACCAAAATATTTCAATTTTCTTTGTTTTATTGTCTTTACTAGCCAACCCTCTTCAATATTCAGCTCTTGAAGTATGGATGCATTTGTTCTTTTCTTTACCCAAGATATTCTTAGAACCTGTCTGTAACATTTATATTCAAATGCATTTATGCGCTGTTCCGCTTGTTTAGTAAGTGTCCAGGTCTCACAGGCATATGTTGCAATGGGAAAGATGCATGCTCTTAAAAATCTGACCTTTGTAATTCTATCTGTACAATTCCATAATTTATTCAGTTGTTTTAGTCTTTGAAGAACAATTGATAGTCGCCGTTTAATTTCTTTCATTGTGTCACCAATGTTGGTAACCAGTGACCCAAGATATTCGAAATTTTCCACCACTTCCAATCTTTCCTCATTAACATATATTTCCTTCTCCATGGCAGTTTTGTTTGTATGCATTATCTTTGTTTTTGCTATGTTAAGAAATAAGTTATGAAGGTACATCACTCTTGTGAAATATAAAGCAGAATTTTGGAACCAGCAATTTCTCATCACTACAAGAAATGCTCATTTGAGGAAAGCTTTAATGCTTGACATCGGAGACTGGGGCCAGTGGTAATACGGAAAATGTAGTCGTGAGAAATTCGGGCCGGAATTTATGATTTAGAGAATTATGAGCAAATTTTCAGAAGAAGATGACATGGCTTTCTGAATAAAAGTAGAATTTTTAACATAAGTAAATGTAGATTTTTAAAACTGCCAACAAAATCCCTCAAAATTAACCCTTATGTTTTTTGAAGCAAAAATTATAAGACCAGGAATTATTTTCAGGAAACGACAACTAGCTGGTGTATTCTCAGAGCACTTCTTGTGAGTGGTATTCCAACAGTAGACAACAGTGATATTCACGTGTGGTTGTTGCAGTTACTGTGATCACCATTGTTCTTGTACATAGTTATCATGCTTGAGTCTTTGAAGTCTTGTAGGACACGTTCTTTATGCCAGCAGAGTGTTATTAGCTAATGAATGTGTGGCATGGTTAGGTCTTTTCCACTCCAAATGATCTCTGTAGTTCCATCTCTCCCTGGAGCCTTTCCTGATAGATATGTATACAAAGGAATTCCATCGCTGCCTGGAGCCTTTCCTGATAGATATGTATACAAAGGAATTCCATCGCTGCCTGGAGCCTTTCCTGATAGATATGTATACACAGGAATTCCATCTCTGCCTGGAGCCTTTCCTTGTAGATATGTATACAAAGGAATTCCATCGCTGTCTGAGCCTTTCCTGATAGAAAAGTATACACAGGAATTCCATCGCTGCCTGGAGCCTTTCCTGATAGATATGTATACAAAGGAATTCCATCACTGCCTGGAGCCTTTCCTGATAGATATATATACACAGGAATTCCATCTCTGCCTGGATCCTTTCCTTGTAGATATGTATACAAAGGAATTCCATCGCTGTCTGAGCCTTTCCTGATAGATATGTATACACAGGAATTCCATCGCTGCCTGGAGCCTTTCCTGATAGATATGTATACACAGGAATTCCATCGCTGCCTGGAGCCTTTCCTGATAGATATGTATACACAGGAATTCCATCGCTGCCTGGAGCCTTTCCTGATAGATATATATACACAGGAATTCCATCGCTGCCCTGGAGCCTCTTTGCCCCTCTTGTTGGAGAGCATTGTTCTAGAGATTCCCTCACTAGGAAATAAACAGAAGATATAAATGTTTAAAATGCAGAGAAAAAAACACTTTTAATCAGGTCACAAATGGCCCCGTCAGTGTCAAAACTCTATTTACTACTGAGGAACGTGATAGGGCTTGTACAGGAAAGTCCAATCATGTAATTTCTTGATTCATTTATTTATTTTGCACGTGTTCGTTCTGAGGCCTTTTTGGGAGGGAAAGGGATAGACAAACTACCTCCCTTAACAAGCGTGTCATAATAGTCAACTAATTAGGGATGTTTCCTTGAAAGTCGCAGTACTTGTGTCTGAGAAGCGAGAGCCAATAGTCTGATTATAAAGAAGCCAGATCTGTAAAACAGAGGTTCTGGAACAAAACTAAAGTCCAGAAGTAGATTAAAAAAAAACTAGAACTTCACCCCAGGGTTTACAGCTGAGGAACGCAAAGAAACATTTAATTCATTTAATGCTTTCTTTTTATATTTTTCAGGTGAAATAGCAGCAGAAATCTTAAAGCGAGCTGGTGACGATTTGGCTGAGTTAGCCCAGATGCTCGAAAGTGACGAGAAATGAAATGTACCTTACTTGTTCAACCATTGGGAACTCGTTGCCAGCGACTGTTGATACAGCTGCAACTTTTTGCTGGCATTACATACACCGGATATTTCCTTTGTTTCAAATATTTGTTTTTATTGTGAAGTTTTATTTTCTTATCAAATAACAGGAGTGGGAAAACTGTGTGGCGGGTGCTCATTGGGTCATTTCCTGTACTATTATCAGGGAATTTCTGAAAATCTGACATCAGATGCCATATTTTGTGAGGAAAGGGAGTTTCTGCAGTGAGTTGTTAGCTAGAATATTATGTGAGTGAGTTTCTCAAGTGTCATCCAGTTGCCATATTATGTGGGGGAGTGAATTGCTGAAAATATAATTTAGTTATGTAGTGTTGTGTGTTGCCGAAAGTTTAATTCTGTTTTTCACATGTGAGGGGAGTGTGCTGGAGATTGTGTGATGCTATCTGCCATTTGAGACAGAGAGTTGCAGGAGATTTTCATCTAACTACCAATATAAGATGAATCATGCAGTATGTATAACTGTCTCATTCTTTTATTTGCATTCAGTAACCGGATTACAATCTGGCTGCATCTGTAGAACACGTAAGGTCCCTACCCGGCAAGATAGTTGAGGTCAGCTACTTTCAGTGATTTATATGCAGGCAGGACTTTTCTCTCCAAAATACTCGCCACTAGGAGAAGAAGACAATCTAAACCCTTCAGTTGTGAGAAGGAAAAAAAATGGAGTTACATTGGGATGGTGGGAAAGTTGAAAAAGGCAGAGACAGATCGAGAGAGGAGATGTTTGACATCCTGGCATAGAAGATCTGTGTCACGACTGACTGAAAATACATGAGACAGAAGGGGCCACCCATGTTACATGGCAGAGACCAGGGCTATTCAGCTAGTGGCCCACAGGCCACATCTGGTCCGCGGAGGCCTAGCAAGTGACCTGCTGGTCATTGGCAGTTGTATTGTTTTAATGATCTTTCTAAGCAAGGGCTTGGGTTTCTGGCCCATGACAATCCCCATTTTGAAAATGTTGGCCCTGGAGTAAACTTAATTAAATAGCACTAGCTTAGATTATTAGAAGAAGAAGAAGAAAATAAAGTGACTGATATTGTAATCATTGCTGCCATATTGTATAAGCAAGTATGTTACTATTTTACATTATGATATGGAGTCAGCTACACTTTCATGGTATGGGGTGAAGTTGAGCTCCTGTCATAATAAATGAAATGGTAAGTTTTTGAAAGTGTGAAGCTGGCTATAATGTTGTGTCAAGTAATGAAATACTCTGCCATAATTTTGAAAGTGTGAAGCTGGCTATAATGTTATGTTAGACAGTGAGTTCCTCTGGCATATTTGATGAGTTAGTGAGACATTCTAATGACTGTGTTAGCTACTGACAATGCGACTTTGATTTTAGCACAAAATTGTTTGTTAAACTCGGTATGATATTTTAAACATTTCTTAATGTGTTGAACTGTACAGTTTTGTGAGGTGTTCAATAACTGTCATATTCTGTGAGATAGTGAGGTTCTGAAAGGGAGGTGCTGTTGTTGTAGTCCTTAATCACAGGGCCAAAGTCCTGTTATGCTCCTTAAAATCGACATGATATTTTTAAAATTTCTTTGTATATTGTATAGTTTTGTAAGATGTTCACTAAAAGTATCATATTCTGTGAGATAATGAGTTTCTGAAAGTATGTTGCAATAGCGGTCTCTAATGACTGGACCAGAATATGGTTATGTTTGTTGTCCTTTGCATGATATTTTTTACATTTAAATAATACAGACATAAACAGTATGTTAAACAATTTATTCTCAGGAATATTTAGCTGTATCTCATCAGGTGCACTACTAGAGACCTATATCAACATATAATGAAACACTAAAGATAAATCTTTTCATATGAGGTAATTGGATCACGTTGTCCAGTGTATCTCTATACATCCCAACAAAGGAAGTTCAGGATTAACCAGTATGCTAAATATGTGGTTGCTTCTGTTACATTGTCTTTCCCTGTGTTGTTCCATCTATTGCATGGTCTTCCTGCTGTTGTTCCATCTATTGCATTGTCTTTTCCAGTGTTGTTCCATCTATTGCATTGTCTTTTCCGCTGTTGTTCCATCTATTGCATTGTCTTTCCCAGTGTTGTTCCATCTATTGCATTGTCTTTTCCACTGTTGATCCATCTATTGCATGTTCTTCCTGCTTTTCCATATATTGTGTGGTCTTTCCTGCTGTTCCATCTATTGCATGGTCTTCCAGCTCTTGTTCCATCTATTGCCTGGTCTTGCTTTCTGTTGTTCCATATATTGTGTGGACTTCTCCGATGTTGTTCTATCTATTGCATGTTCTTCCTCACTGTTGTTCTATCTTTTGTTTGATCTTCATCACTGTTGTTCCATCTATGTCATTGTCTTCCCCACTGTTGTTCCATCTGTTGCATGGTCTTCCCCTTCCTCTGCTCACATTTATTCAACATAACTCTCTGTGGCTCTTGGTACGTGGGCATCTTCTCAAGTGGTCAAACAAAATCATATGTTGCTCTTTAATGAATTATTTGACTGGCTTCAGTCCTAAACTTTTAATTTCTTCATTTTAAATCTTTTTACTCCTAAGACGTCCCATCAAGTTTTGTCTATTTTTATCGTCAGCTGTAGAAGTCCATCTGTGAATGACACTTCTTCTGTTCTGTACTCCTTGAATGCTTCGTGGCATCAGGGCAGGAACAGATCCTTCTGTTTGCTTCGTGTAAAGTACTTTTCAGTGTCTCTGATAATTCTATGGTCCAGCTTATGTGTGGTTGACCACTGCCTCTGTTACCTTTTGTATCTGTATAACATTGCTTTTTGTGGTGCCCTGTCTGATGCCAGTTTTATTACATGGCCAAACCATTTGATTTGTTGTGTACCTATAAAGTTCGGCATTAGTTCTGTGCCAATTCTCCTCCTGATATCATCATCATTTCTAAGTCGATCTTTCCTCGTTACACCTAGCACAGTACGTACGTAAACGTTTCATTTCTGTCATGAATGTTTTTCCTTCTGTCTTCCGAAGACAGTGTCCTTTTTGACACTGGTTTGACTAATGTCAGCCTAAAAATAGTTATGAGAATTGCCTTGGTAGATTAAACAAAAATAGTTCACATAGTCTCTTCATGTATTTTCTGTTTCTCTACACAACAAATTTGAGCAAACAGAATGCAGCCATAATGCATGTCTTTCAGTATTTAACCATGTCAGTTTGTGTTGTCTGTTTGGACTTCTACAGGCCAAAAGTCTATTTTTTAATTTTGACAATCTGGCAAATGCAGTCTTGTTTCATATTTGTTTATATGCATGCTTGTTAAAGAATGTTGGCCTGTTTTAATTAAAAGAATGCCTTATGATAATTAACTGGTTTTCTGGGTGTTGGGATGTTTATTTTTTGTTGAATTGTTTTATGAGGCCTTAGTTTTCTTTTTTTTTTTTAATTTTGTTTCTGCTTCTTCTTCTGATTTATAGATCTGACTGAATTCCACACAGGAAGTTTGCCATTAAAATGGCAGTTGTCACGTCATGCTGTAGTTTACAGCCAGGCTGCAATTTCTGTACCTTTTAGACCAGGGCTAAACAACTGGCAGCCCTCGGGCCAAATATGGCCCACTGAAGCTTAGTAAATGGCACCCGGATCATTGCCAGTTGTATTATGTAAATGTTCTTTCTATGTTCTGATTCGAGCCTCTGGCCCATGTAAAAATAAACAAAAACAAAAAAAAAATGAAAAAAAAAGTTAAAGATCCCTTTTCATGCCTTTTATGCGCATTGGGCATATGGGAAGAGCACCCATTTTTTACAGACCATTTGGCACCAGGCGGGTAATGTGGCCAGCATTAGGTTGGCCATCTTTACTTCCCCAGGACATACATCCTGGTACCCATTTTAGGCTCGGTTGACCTGCGATTCCCCTATACCACGTTAAAAATCCACGCAGCCAGTGGGTTTCCATCGCGGCACGTTGGAATTACGACTCGGGCTCGCAACGCCTAAGCTACGGGCGCCACCATTCTGGTCCATGACGATCCCCATTTTCAAAATTGTGGTTCCTCAGTGAACTTAGTTAAATAGCCCTGTTTTAAACCAACATATTAAATTTTAATAAACCCCTAATTCATCATCATCATCCCGCAACACTGTGTCGTTGGGCCACCAGTTTCTGTTGACTGTCTGATCAGCTTTCTCCACCTTTCGTGGTCAGTTGCGATGGACTTCATGGTTGCATGCCTGAGGCCTGTCCAGTCAGTCATGTTCTGTAACAATGTCTTTCTTGGTCTGCCTCTTCTCCTCTTTCCCTCTACTGAGCCCTGCAGTATTATTTTAGAGAGGCGGTTAGATCTTATTACATGTCCATACCATCATTTTTCGCCTTTTCACTGTTGTTAAAAGAGGTTTATAGTTGCCAATGTGCTGTATAATTTTATGATGAACCTCTTTGTTTAAACCCCTAATTAGTTGTTAGGGACAAAGTGGGTCTGCCGCAGTCTCAGCAAAGACAATAGAACAGAATACACATGCATTAAATGCATAAGGCCGCTGTCATAAATGCCGACACAAATAGTCTGACACTAGAAATGTAGTACATCGTCAATGGAAGCAGCATTTTTAACAGATCAGTAGTTACACACGCAGTTATTGCATAAGGCACTACCACTTCTTTAGCAACAGGCCACTTGCCATTTTCTGAATCTGCAGTTCACAGCACAAACCATACTGGGCACAGTTAAAAAGCATTCTAAATAAAATCCACTGCTCACAGTGTCACACCATGCACTCAACCCAGTAGCTGGACGACGGAACTTAATCCTATGTCTAATTAAAAACCTACCTTCCACCAAATTGACCAAAACCATAAACATCAACATACTTATATGATATGCAGTTACGGAATATACAGAAGAATAGGTCGTATTTCATGGAAATAAAAACGATACAGAAGTTGTGAAGAGAACATGAAATGAGAAAACAAAGAGTTG